GCATGTGGTGCTGGGGGATTGAACCGCGGTCCCTGTGCTTTACTAAGCTTGTTCTAAGTAGGTGCTTTAGACCACTGAGCCATCTCCCCAGCCCCAATAAAAAATTCTTGACGCCTCAATTATGTTTAGCAAAGAATCATGTAATTTAATAAATAATTTTTGACTGAAAAAAAAAAAAAAGAGAACTACAGGCCAGTCTCCCTCATGAACATAGATGCAAAAATCCTCAATAAAATCCTAGCAAATAGAATACAGCAAATCATCAAGAAGATTATACACCATGAGCAGGTAGGATCCATCCCAGGGATGCAAAGATGGTTCAATATATGTAAATCTATAAATGTAATACCCTATATCAACAGAGCCAAATCCAAAAAACCACATGATCACCTCAATTGATATAGAAAAGGCTTTTGATAAAGTCCAACACTCATTCATGTTCAAAGTCCTACAGAAAATTGAAATAGATGGTCTCTACTTCAATCTGATAAAAGCCATCTATGACAAAACAATGGCTAACAAAATTCTAAGTGGGGAAAAAATGAAATCTTTTATTCTCACATCTGGTACAAGGCAAGGATGTCCTCTATCACCACTCCAATCCTCCTGCCTCAGCTTCTCAAGAGTTGGGATTACAGATGGCTCAGTGGAATAAGCCACCACCATACCCTGCTTGCAGTAGAATTTTAATAAAATGGGTTTTCATCCAATACAACACATTTAACAAGCAACGAAAGATTTACAAAGCAGTTCAAAAGCAACCAAAGTGTGGAACTTCAAGTAAAAATGTGAGAGAATCTGTACAAGATGATTTCAAGTTACCTGTAAAGAAGAAGCCAGAAGCCGCGAGCAGCTGTGGGGACACTGCCTGGACATAGAAGGGCCAGTCCCCGAAGGACTTGAGTCTGGCCTCCTCTTCTCCATACCCTGCTGTGTCCCCGCTCCGCTTCTTCCCCGGAGTCTTGACCCGCACCTCGTACTTGCCGATGTTACCGACATCTCTGCCCAGAAGGAACTGGCAGCCTGGACGGAGCTCCCTGTGGCTCTGTATGGGGAACTTCTTGAGGCTGGTGCCAAAGAGGATTAGGCTGCAGCAGAAGCACTGGACTGCGGTCTTCACCCCAGTGAAGTAAAAGCCAGCTGCTGCCATGTCCTGAGGTGTCCACGAGCTGTACACCTGGTAGGTCACAAAAGTCCTCAACCGGCTGGCTTCACTGCGCATTCGGCAGTTGAAGCCTTTCTTCATTTTCACACGTTCTCTGTGCTCTTCCTCCTCTTGTTCCTTCATATATACCATGGCATCTATGCCCAGGAACAGAGTCATTTCTGTGGCCAATTCATAATCAACCTGGGAAACCTCCTCCTCCTCCTCTTCTTGGGTGGTCATTTTCTGGCCAAAAAAAAAAGTTAAGAAGTTGGATGTTACAGTAACACTTACATTGTAAAAAGCATTTCCTCACTTTGAAGAAGTAAAAATGGAAGGAATGGAAGGAATGCCTGACTTTCCAAGGCAAAAAAGGAAGCAGCTCCCTATATCAGAAAGCTTTCCCAGACTGGAGGTGCAGCTCAGCAGCACAACACCTGTCTGGCAAGCACAAGGCCCTGAGTTTGATTCTCAGTACAAAAGAAAAGAAAAAGGGAGGGGAGGGGAGGGCAGGGGAGGAGAAGGGCGGGGGCTTTCTCCATCATACACACTTGCTGAGGGCCTGTTTCTCTGGCCAGCCCCTGTTAGTGCAGCCCTCCAAGGTCACTTGGTGACAGTGGAGTCATGCCACGCAGTAGTCAGCATTTGTGTCAAGGAAACACACTTGCAAAAGCAGGTGCCACAGGGCCACAGTTGGATGAACTTACTCATTATTAAAAAAATCATTGTTCTAACAGTGTTCACCTTCCAAGTTGTGGTGTTCTGTGCCCAAGCTCAAGAGGCCCCAGCATAATCATGGCTCCAGGTGCTGTTTGAGGGTTTCTGCCTGTATGGAACTCAGCCAAGGTCATTATGGCAAGTGATCCAACATGGTGTTGGGTCCCAAAACAACAACATGTCAATCTCAGACCAACTTGCCTGTTCTTCTAGTTCCCAATTAGACTCTTTGTCCCCTTTTCCCACACACTAACGACCCTTCAGTTTCCTCCTGACATGACAATTCACCTGCCCACGTAAATTCCACCTCTAGTGCAACTCAGTAAAAACCCTGTCCCTCAGCTTCCTCCTCCAAGCATCCTTGAAATCTCTGGCAGCCCTCGCACCCAGTCAATAAAGATTTTCTTTTTACTTCTGTCAGTGTCTCTCCACAGCGCCAAAAAACCTTACACTATTCATTTCATTTTATAAATTACTTTCCTAACCAAAAATTATAAAATATGGGGCTGGTGAGATGGCTCAGTGGTCTAAAGCACCTACTTAGAACAAGCTTAGCAAAGCACAGGGACCGCGGTTCAATCCCCCAGCACCACA